CAATTTTTCTCTTAAATGTCATTATTTTCATTTCCCCAATGCTTCCTTTTTTCTATTTTTGCCCTTTTATGAATTTTCAGTCTCTTATCTGCCAAGAATATATATATATAGGTATGTGTGTGTATATATATATATATATATATATATGTGTGTGTGTGTGTGTGTGTATATATACACATACACACATACACACACATATGTACATGCAAAGACATATATGTACACACACATATACACATGTATACATGTGTAAATGATTTTTGCCCTTCTATGAATTTTCAATCTCTTATCTGGCAAGAATAAGTATATATACACACACACACACACATATATATATATATATACACACACAGATATACATATACACATATACATATGTAAATAACTATAACATGTTGATTATACATTTAATGAAGAGATATTTATTACGTTACATTTATATGTTTTCATAATTTCTCAGTTTTATATGTCTTATTAATTTAAAAGGCAGAGAAGTATATTTGTCATTTCTCTCTTTAAAAAACACTATAAATTTTTTGGCTATTTGTACATAGCCTATAATTGATCTGCTTTGCATGAAGAAACTAGCTGTCATCAACTGGCATCCAAATATGAGGTGCACATTTACTCTACCCTCTTTTACATACATGATCTCATCTATCTGGCAGTAATTCTAAATAGGAGAAGAACACAAAGATTTCCAGAATGGTTGGATTTGCTTTTCTGATTGTGTGTTCATCTATGCCTAAATTACTATATTTAAAGTAGTCATTTTGATAAAATGTTTTTACTTGCTAATATCTAGTTTATCCTTCAATCAAACCCAGCAACAAAGAGAGAGCAAGAACATATGAAATACGTGATGAGATCAGTCCCATAAAAAGACTGGAATCAAAGCCGCAGATTTATCATGAGACACGTGACTTGGGCCAGATTCCACAAGGAGGAGGATAAATATGTAGAAGCAGAATCAGCTCTGCTGAGGAAGTGAGAGAGAAAGATGGAAGCCATTTGTCTCTGAGGATCATATGAACAGGGGACAAAGGGGTCATTTCGTTATGTACCTGGAACATTTTGGGACCATATCCCCATTTTGGGACCTTTTGAGTGCCAGCATGATGCCACAAGTGGAAAACTTCACACCTGACCTCGTATGACAGCTCATAGTAAACACTTTGTTTCATACACAAGATTATTTAAAATATTGTATAAAATTGCCTTCGGGCTCTGTGTTTAAGGTGCGATATGAAACATAAATGAATTTCATATTTAGACTTGGGTCTCATTCCCAAGATATCTTAAGTATATGTAACTATTCCAAAATCTGAAAAAAAAAATCTAAATCCAAAAATCTGGTTCCAAGCGTTTCAGATAAGGGAACCTCAATGCATATGCTGCATTTAAAACTGCTTTCAAGAATTGATGTTTGAAATTTTTAAATTTTGATTTTTAAAATGTTACCTTGTTTATTTTTATAACTTTTACAGATGAAGAAACAAGATAAGCTTTCAAGTTGTGATTTACAAACATAATGCTAGGTTTGGATGCTTGTTTCCTTCAAAAAATGAGTCAAAGTAGCCATAATTATTACTATACTTTTTTGCATATAGATTTTTTGAAGTACTACAGACAACTTGGTGTTTTCTAAATTTTGATCAAATGAATGCAATGTGTAGATCTAGTGAAGATCTGAGACATGTTTACTGTATAAGAATGCATTCTGCCTCTAACCATTGATTGAATACAGGTTTGCATTAAACAATATGTGCTAGATCAATTCCATCTGCCTCTCCAGTTCTACTCTCCATCCTCCTCCACTCAATGACTCATTGTAAAGAGTTGGCTTTTACAGATTGCATCAACGAATCCCTTCTGCTCTGGTTTCTGATGGGTTTCGCCACTAGAAATTGAAGGTAGGTTTCGTCGGTTTATTTCTCCAGCCTGTAGGTCACCACAGGCTGGCTGAGTCCTGTGACTAATGATTGCAGCTCCTGGGAAGGGGTCCTCTCCATCTCCTCACCTCTTCAGACTTGGCTTGACCATAGCTCCTTAACACTGCTAGTCACAGTATTCTCCACTGTTTCCTGTGGTTCCCCCTTATGCTTTTCACACAATTTAAATATTTTCTTCCTTAAACTCTTGTCAAATTACATAATTTGAACGTGAGCATTTCGTCTCTTTTCTGCCTTGACCCTGACTCTTATGTAATACAGTACTATGAATGACAATGAAAAACTCCAGAAGGGTTATAAACTTGGTAGCCTGAGGCATTCAGCTAACTAAAGGAACTGAGCAATTAAATCATGATTTGTCTCATCTGATCTCTGTTAAAGCCACACCTACTCAGCCAAATACGTATTTAAGGCTCAAGAGAAAATTAGTCCAAACATCATTTTATTGTTGATTTTAAAAGTAGAAATTAAAACCACAAACACTCTTTAACCACAAACACTTCCAAAAAAAATCTGTAAAGTTTGCAAGACATCAGTTGTGAAAAAAAAAAGAGAAAAGTTTTGCTAAATGAAGCAATTATTTTTCACTCCTTCCCTATGAGTGAATCCTTGAATAATGTGTGGGTGTGTGGTTGTGTGTGTGTTTGTGTGTGTGTGTGTGGGGGGGGGGATGAAGTGAGATTTAAAAGTCTATGAATATATAAGAATATACAACACTATTTTTTTTGATGAAAATTATGTATAACACCAACATTTAGAGTGAATTTTCGTTACTTATTTGGTACATGGAAACAGTCACAGCTTTCTTCTAGGCCAGGGTTGAAGTTGGGGTTCAAGGGAGGGTAATTTATTATTTGTCAAGGAGACAATCCCACCCATCCCATAATTGTTTGATTCTTGAAGAATTCATGGAGAAGCTGGATTATAAATACAAGAGATGACTATAATAGTACAATATTTTGAAAAATGACATGACGAGCTCAGATCACTGACTTCCCCACTGACCACTGACATGCAGCAAGTTGTAAGCACAGCATGACAGCTGGCTGAGATCACTGGCAGGAAAGGCGACACATCAGCTCACGGTAGAGGAAGCCCAGTTCCTCCCGTTCTGTTGACCATGCCAACATGAGGCCAGGAGAGAGATTTTTTGAAGTACTACAAACAACTTGGTGTTTTATGCAATATGGCACTAGGGAACCCTTGTCTCAAAGTATATAATGTTTATTGATCTTCTTTTAATAAAATCCCTCCCACTCCATTACGGCTTATATTATTGAGGTGGTGCCAGCTACTGGGCTCTGCTGAAGATATTTTTCCAAAGTGAAGGACCTATTCATCCAGATTCTTACTACTCTTTACATTTCTGACCCCAAAAATGGCTATGCCTGCCTGGCTGCAGCATCTCTCTTACACTCACACGCATGCACACACACATACACACACACACAAACTCTTATGGTAAAATTACAGTCGATGATTCATGAAGTAAGAGAAAATCCATAAGCCCCAAAGCAACATCTTGGAAGAGGTAGATGGACCCAAGAAAGAAAGGTCATGTGAGAGTAGAGGTGTGACTTCCTTTTCCCCCGGACATGTAAGATGGCCAGTAAGAACTGGTACAAATCCTTCCACTTCCTGCTTCCTCCTTGTTTGCTTTGTTTTACCTCATCCTGCTTTCACCCTGTGTTTTCATCCTCTTTACAGGGTAAAAGAAAACCAACTGAGAGCCACTGGGTTGAACTGGAGACAAAATACTGGTTACAATGGAGGCCTAAGCCCTGGAGGCTAAGGTGTGTAACCTTCCAGAGAAGAACTTCATAACCAATGGTTACAGCATATTTTCTTCCCAGGCGTGGGGCAAAACAACAAAATTAATGCAATTTTTCCAAGTTTCCCTCACCCTCCACAACCCTACCTTAGGCAGCCAATATTTCCTTGCATTACTCTACTGTCAAAAATGCTGTCCTGGGCAGCTCACGCCAATGCTTAACCCAAAGGAGTCACATGAATAAACCAACAGATGAATAATTATTGAGGAATATATTCCCCAATATTATCTTACTCTCCACAAAATCAAAACTTCCCTTTACTGATGACCATCAGCTTACTATTAATATTTGTTAATGTCATTAATAAAATTGATGGTGAATCTCAATATAAATATATATCCTCTGGGAGGGTTACACTGGTGGTGAACCTCACTATATGTATTTATATATATATAAATATATTTATATATACATATTTATATATATATTTATATATATAAATATATATATAAATATATTTATATATATATTTATACATATAAATATATATATAAATATATTTATATATATAGTGAGATTCACCACCAGTGTAACCCTCCCAGAGGATCCTGTCATCCTTAAAGTAGATCTTTGTACGTTGGAAAAAGCTATAACCCAAGTTTTTGGGGGTCAGTGACACATGGAATCTATGGCATTTAGTAGTATATAGTCATGACACCCCCACCCCTTGCCCCAGCTCACTTTTCCAAGTGACACTGCATCCTGTGGGGCCTATACCCAGTCATGATGACAGAGGAGGTTGATATAAATAACCACAAATAAAAAGGGCATCTCTTCCACGAACCGGATAATGTCCCAAGGGAGCAACACATTTCTAGCTTCTGACCTTGTTGCCCTAAATAGTTCTGCCCCAACACAATTATGTATTAGCAAAACCCATTGATTTGCTGCTACCAACCAAAGTATGATGGGCCGGTTGTCTTCACAAGGGAGTTTTCACAAAACAGTTATATTTTCAAAAGTTATCAATGAAATTCACTGTAAGAATGCATCCATGTATCTTAAAATGAGCTAATTCTTTTTATTAACACCATTGCCTCATGCAGTGAGTTCTAGAACAACTACAATGCCTCTTAAGGAAACCTGGACAAGTAAGGTCTTTCAGAAAGGAACTGATGTAATGAACACTGGATTTGGGGACAGGACTCATCTACATCAGGTGCTTGCAGAGGCCTGGGGAGCCTCCTGCAAGGCCGTGAGGTGGCTGGGCTCTTACCTTACCACACTGCTTACATTTCCCCTCCTGCCGACGCCTGTGTACCCAGTGATGACGCACAAAATTCTGTGGGAAAACAAAATTAAATCAATATTTTAATTTATTTCTAGAGACAGGGTCTTGTTCTGTCATCCACGCGAGGGTACAGTAGTATAATCATAAATCACTGCAGCCTCAAGCTCCTCTGCTCAAGCAATCCTCCAAAGCTGGGACTACAGGCATGAGCTACTGCACTTGACTGAATGTGTTTTGATTTGCAAACCTCAATATTCATTTTATAATGTTGTAATACTATTGATTTATATAAACCAGGATCTAAGCCCAGATGAGCCCAGAAACAGATATTTATGGATATGACTTGTTTAACAATAAACATGAATCTACTTGGACAAATGAAGTTAGTCCTCCACCCCTGATGTCTTTCATATTTGTACATCCCACTTCTCACGCCCTCCCTCCACATCCTCAAAGTGGCAAGTGGTCTTACCAGATTGCTGTTACTCTACTGTCTTACTAGTCAAACACTCAGCAGATTTGTGAACACAGTAGAGAACACTGGGCTGGGAGGTAACTGAGGCAGGTAAAAGAAATATCCAAAGAAAAGTGGGAAGGTGAAGGGGAGAAGCTGAAACAACAACATCCAGTTCAATTTAACAAATAGTATGTAGTGCTTTATCTGTGCCAGGCAGGCCCTATATCAAACATTCTAGCTAGAGAGAATGTCAATCAAACTCTCAGAAATAGATCTCCTAATCCAAGACTTAGGTGTGAGAATTATTCACCAGACAGAATGAAGAAAGAAAAAAGCTGAAGGAAATAGATGTCAAGGACAAGAGGCATATCGATGGTGTTTTTGCAATGGTATTGTGTTTAAACCATCCTTGGGCACTTTGAGCTATTAGAGATTAGCTTTCACGGTCTATCCTTGTCTCAGACTGCAGAAAATACAGAAAGTCCTTTTCCTCCCGAGTAGAGAAGCACTCCTGGGGCAGAGTCAAGTAGCGCCATTCACTATTAGTTCTCAGGATACATTACAAGAAAGTCATCCTCAGGACTAAGAATGCAGGCAAGCCCTAATAATTTACAAACAATTTAACATCAATACCCCTAAAGTACTCTTTGTTTTCTTTTGCCCTTTTCTGTGAAAACACGCTTTACATCATACTAACATGTCTACTATAGGATCTAGCCATAGTCCCTATTTTCCCTTTAAAAACCGCTTTAATATATATTCAGTTATTCAAATTTTTCCTACATATCAGGCACTGTTCTATTAGTAAGTACAGGTAGACAGACAATAGATCAGTGTAGAGGGGAAAAAATGTTATATGTCAAGGCATGAAATTCACAGTGACACGAATACCGCTAATAAGCATTAGCATTATCAATACCGAAATGCCACCTCCATTTCTCTGAATAATGTCAAGTCCACTTAAACTAAAACTAGACAAAGATCCTGGAAGAATAATGATCTTTTAACTATAATCAGATAGAAGGGAGCACAATGGTCCCACAATTTAGTCTGATTTTTGTCTTGCTTTTCCTACTACCACAGTTTAATAAAACAAAGACACAAGCTTAGGTTGTTCTAAGAAAGAAGCTAATTATAATAGCTAGCACTTGTTGAGTACTGTGTGCCATGCACTTTAAAAAATATTTTATAAGTAATAGTTTGTGCATCTATTTCCATCATAGTTCTTTTAATCTTCATGAGAATTTTCAGGAGTAGAGATGCCACTTAGTTGGAATGTATCAATAAAGTCCTACGAATTGTTGAACTATTGAAATGCCTGTGGACTGGTAAATTGCAGTTTAGTGCCCCTACCATCTTCCTGACTCCTCCCCTGCTGCCACAGCATCCACTACCTCCCTCAGGGGAGAGACCACTTCCACCTCCTCATTATTAAGCAATTACGATGTTAATATCTGACATGATAGGTTTCCAGGATCCTATTCCAGTGACGTCTCTCTTCTGAAAACAAATCATGTTGCAATGTTACTGGTTCCCCCAAAGAATCTCAGAAGGCTGGGCTGGGCCCAGCCGGTGGTAACTGTCTGTACAATCTTAAATTTCCACGTGGACAGACAATCCTGGGTCCTATGGCTAGCTGCGGCTTTCAAGAAAGTGACGGCAATTCCAGAATAACCTGCCCAGTTATCAGTATCCATCTCATCAGTTCAGTGCAAAAATTCTACTGAGGATGAAGGTACTGGACCTGCCACCTCTTTTCTTTGCAGCTGAGGCTACTGCCGACCCCTCTGGCATCTGCCTACTCAAGAGGTAAGATGAGAACCTTAGTCCACTGCCTGCTTAAAAATAAGAGGAAGAACCGGAGCCAGCTTCCAACTGCAGGATATCCCAGTTCACACTAAAGTAGGGCACATTATCAGAAGTTTTGATTTGAATGGTCAATATCATCCTCATTTTACAGATAAGGAAACTAATACATATAGTGGTTACTTAAAATGTAAAGGTTAAAGTGAGGGTCCAAACCCAGACAGGCTGGGAGCAGAATCTGTGCTCTTACCATTGTGTCACTGTGCCTTTCCTCTGTCCCACAAGACAGGGCTCACAATACTTCAGCATGACACACCAACAAGTGATTTCAATGACAGTCAGTAGTAGAAACATTGAATATATAAAAATGTCAGTATCATACTTAACAGAAAAATGTAAGGTAATTGCCATTAGTATAGCAGAAGCTGAGGGAAAATGAACAATATCATTGATGTTCAGAAAAATTCTGTACATAATTGAGATTACAAATCACCTAATGACTATCAATTTAAGAAAGAACATGTTGGAAACATCTGATGCAATTACGTTTTTGAAATCATGGCTGACTCATGGGATCATTTAGGGAGTGACAGCTCTACTCAAAAGAGTCAGCCAACATTTTTCACAAATCAACAATTACTTAGAAAGCTTAGGACGGACTTCATCATGAGTACCACAACACCCAGTTGTCCCTTTTTCCCAGGAGATATGTTCTAAGACTCCCAGTGGATGACTGAAACTATGGATAGTTTACCAAACTTTATATGTACAATGATTCTTCAATCTAATAACTGAGAAAACTACTGAGTGACGAATGGGTAGGTAGTGGACACACTGAACGGACAGGTGATTCATATCCCAGGACAGAGAAGGATGACACAAGATTTTGTCATGCTATTGAGAACAGCATGCAATTTAAAATTTATGAATTATTTATTTCTGGAATTTTGGACTGTGGTTGACCTTGGATAACTGAAACCTTGAAAATCATGGATAAGAGGGAACTACTGTGTATCATTTGGTAAGCAGATGTATAATATCATATAGTTTAGTTGGGGAATAAAAAAAGAATGTTTTTAAATTATTATTTAAATATTACTCTCTATGGTTCTACCATTTGTTAAATTTTTTAATATCATCCTTCCTAGAAAATAAGTAGAAAACTAAGGCATGGATTGACAAACTAACTTATAGAAAATCACTATCACAGAAGAAATTGAGTAACTGTCTTCAAACTACAGCTCTGTGATAGGAGATGTCCACCATCCTTCTCTTCAGAGTTCTTCCAAGGCCCAGTATAAATTTATTCTACTGCTGCTTAATCATTGTTTGAACAAAGCGAACATTTAATACATGTGTGTTGAACTGAATGGAATTATCCACTTAATTTCTTTGACTTTTAAATCACATAGTTACCATGGAGGAGGGGAGGATCATCAATTGCCTTCATCAATAAGAAAAAAAAAGCATTACTCTAGAATCATTGCTATTTTCTAGTCCTTATATCCCAAGCACTTTAATTTCTCACACTCTTTTCTTTTGACCATTATTAAGAGCTCCTAAATTGCTGAACTGATGTTGGACTCAGGATCCTTAACACTGCAAATGTAAGTGTTGATACATTTCTGTTAACATAGCAAAGCAAGGCTCCTAACACCATAAAACCTTTTTATTGCTCATCAATAACTTCTGAATTATTCATATACAACTTCAAATACTGGGCAAGGAAATGGCTATTACTTTTGGGTGTTAAAATATTAGTAATGCATTATTTCAGGGCTTGTATTCAGTACTGTTAGCAAAAATACATAACACAACTGTTCAGCTATTCTCAGTCAATCGAACTGGGATAAAAGACTACAAATTGAGTTCAGTATATACTGTTTGGGTGATGGGGTGCACCAGAATCTCACAAATAACCACTAAAGAACTTACTCATGTAACCAAATATCACCTGTTCTCCAAAAACCTATGGAAATAAAAAATACACACACACACACACATGTATTATTCATTGAGAGTTTGAAAGGAGCTTAGAAATCATAACCTAATCTGTTATAGCTTATGACTAAGAAAAAGGAGATCCAGAAAGATTCAATTTAAGAGGACTCCAACAAATATCTATTTAAAAACTGCCACATGTCAGGCACCATACAAATGCCAGGGCATAGTGACCAACAATCCATGCTCCAGAGACTCTTACCACTTAGTGGAAAAGAAGCAGAGGTATAATCTGAACTAGGCTCATACTAATTCTGGAGCAAATGTTCTTCCATTTACTAAGTAAACACCTAAATTAGTAGTAGTGAGAATTCTTAATTTTTAATTAAGAATATCAAATGGGTCACAGTCGGTGAGTCATAAGTTTCATCTCCAAAATGTCCTTTTAGATCAAGAGTTCCTAAACATTTTGGGAGAAGTGAACACCTTTGTAAATGTATTCGATCAGCAGATATCCATCAATCACATACTCTCTGTTTTGGTGCAATTAATTTAGAACAAATTCCACAAGTGACCTCCCCAAGTTTACACTAAAGAAGGGAGACATTCTTTAGACAAGTGAACAGTAATATGCATAAATTATTATGGCATACAAAGTGCCCTCTTTGATAAAGAACAATAAGCTATATATTTAAACGTGGTTGTTAAGGAAGACCTCAGCAAAGGACTGGAATTTGTGGCCCCTCAAAATTCATATGTCGAAACCCTAAACCCCAAAGTGATGGTAATAGGTGAGGCATTTGAGAGGTGATCAAGTAATGAGGGTAGACTCTTCATGGACGCAATCAGGGTCCTTATAAAAGTGACTGCAGAAAACTCTCTAACCCTCTTTCCTCCGCATGAGAATACAATGAGAAGGTGGCAGTCTGCAACCCCAAAGAGGGTCCTCACTAGAACTGGACCATGCTCGCACATTGATCTTGGACTTCCAGCCTGCAGAACAGTAAGAAATAATTTTTGTTGCTTATAAGCCACCAAGTCTATGGTATTTTATTACAATAGCCTGAAAAGACTAAGACAATGTCTGTGTGGGGATATTTGAACTAAGGCCTAACTGTAAGAAACAGTCATGCAAAGAGATTTTCAGTACAGCAGTGAAATACACAAATATTCAAAGGTGAGGAGTATTTTGGTGTGTGCCTCACAAATGGAAAGAAAGTCCATGTGGAGGCTGGAAAGGCAGTCGTGGCCCTTTTCATGCCAAGACAGTGGGTTTGGTTTTGCTCTAAGAGTTATGGAAACCACTGGAGAGTTTTAAGCCAGGGAATATTATATTAGGTTGTTGCAAAAGTAATTGCTATTTTTGCCATTACTTTCAATTACTTTTGCACCGACCTAATAACCTACTTTTCATTTTGAAAGATCACTCCTTTAAATCATGGGTGGATTGAAAGTGAAAACTGAAGAATCACAAAGAAGCTTTTTCATTGGTCAAAGGGGAGAGGTCACAGTACCTTAGTTTAAGGTGCTGGTGATAGAATTGCAGATAATGGACTTGAAATATATTTTATAGATAAAATTGAAAGGACTGGCAAATGAATTAGATGTAGGCAGTCTGTGAGAGAAGGAATAAACATGACCCCACAGTTTTCTCAATTGAGGAACCAGATCAACAGCCATCTCATTTCCTAAGATGCATAAGATTGTTTTGAAATTGTTTTTATGGTGAAGGAAATAGTCTAGCGTTTGATGTATTATTTTTAAGACGGCTGTGATACATTCAAGGGACATGCCAAGTGGAACTCCAAGAAATGCAGACTGGAAATGTAAAGTTAGGAGTTGTCAGCCCACATGGCATTTGAAGCTATGAGACTGGATGAGCTTCCCTAACAGGAGTGGGCAGAGAGAAGAGAACACAGACAAGAACTAAGCTCAGAGGGATCTGCAGAGGTTGGGGGAGCGAGCATGAAAAAGAATGAGCAGGGCTACCCAACGAAGCAAGAAGAAAATTAGGAAAGGATGATATGAGGAGCCAAGAGAGGAGGGCGTTCCGAGAAGGATGGAATATGTAATACCTTAAAATTTTTGAGAGACTCGATAAGGAAAGAAGAGAAAAATAAATAATACCTAAAACATGTAGCATATAGGAGATCATAGGCAACACTGAGAAAAGCAATTTCAGTAAATGGATAGAGTAGAAATCAGATCAGAACAGGTTACAATGACTAGAAAGTGACATACTCAAAATAATTTATATAGTTAACACTTTCTGGAAGCTTGGCAGTTTGACCACAAAACTGAGAATTAGAGCAGCAGGTAAGACACAGTTAGTGGCTAAGAAAGGTTTTGTTGTTGTTGTTGTTTTTTTTAATGATAGAAAATATTAGAGCATGTTTATGCTGATAGAAATAATCTAGAAGTAGGGGAGGGGATGAAAATATATAAAAGGAAGGAATTTCCAGTCCTTGATAAGAAGACAAGGGAGAATATCCAAAACGCTTATGGAAGGTCTAGTCTCAGAGAAGTGGTACAGGCTAATAAAAACCAAAAGCATCTAGTATTAGAAAAATTGCACAATTAAAATTGTCTCTCTTTCTGTCTTCCCCTGCCTCCACACTGACCTATCTACAGAGAGAGATACATATAGGAGGGCAGGAAGCCAAAGGTAGGCATAGGAATCCCCTGGTCGGAAAGTCATGAACTCCATCTTAACATGAAACTATCCCTTCAGGTTTCCTAAATAAAGCACCTGGTTCATTTGAGTTATCACTGAGTTATCTCCTGGTCCACGCTGTCTGCACTCTGCGTGACACTGAGGCACCACAGCCCTATCATTCTTCTGCTCTTCTCACCCTGCGCAGGGCCCACAGCCTTCCTGTGGCTGCTGTGCTGGACAAACACAGTGGGAGAAGACACCCGATGGGGACAACTATGATTTTCTCCTTCTACAACTTCATCCCAACCTACTCTCTTTCCATATTTTCTCCCAGTCCTTTTGCTTTGTCACTAACAATTAGAGCAGTCATATTCATGTTGTCTTTTTTCATCAACTGTCTCTAGACACTTGTGATTCTCAGGTATCGCCTATTCCTAGTCTCCATGTTCATCTATTCCCTCGGCTTTAACTACTGTGTAAATATGCTGACGACTCACAATGCCTGACCTCCAGTCCAGTCTTCCTCATAAGCTCCAAACTCATATACCCACTCAACCTTCCATTGGACATCTCCAATTGAGGACAACAGGCACACCTCACACTTCACAGTTCTACAACTAAACTCATTACCTCCCCACCCCATCCTCAAATCAACTCATTTTCCAACATCCAATCAGTTTTTTTTGTTTGTTTGTTTTTTAGCAGTAGCTCAGTTTAGTCTGGGCTCCTCTTTTGTCCAAAATCCAATCAATTACTATATCCTGTGAATTTTGTTTCCTTCAAACTCATATCTACCCATGTTATTTTTAGTTCATGCGATCATTATTAATGCCTAGATTACTAGCATAGCTTCTGAAAGTTGTCGCTGTGCCTCCAACTCTTGACCTGCATGGTATTTCCTCCACACTGCAGACTGAACGATATTTGTCTTGAAGTAGTTTAATGCCCCCCTCCCAACTATCCCGATGATAAAACACTCAACTGGCAGCACGTGTTACAAGTACCTTCATGGTCCGGCTCTTGCTGTCTCAGATCTCACATCCTGCTCAGTATGCTGCTCTTTCTCACTTGTACTTATGTGCTCTTCCTTCCATCCAGAAGGCTCTCACCACTCACCTTGTAACACCCCTCCTCTCACTTAACTTAGGTCCTTAAGGGCTCAGCTTAATTGCCACCTCTTCCAGGAAGCCCCTTCTCTGATTCCTTTCCTCTCTTTCCTATTTGTTACAACATAGAGCTTATTTGAGGAGTAGAGACCAGCCAGGGAGGTTTCCAAGGGGTAAATCTGTAAGTGGAACTGAAACTCGTCTCCCTGAGAAAGTATGCTTATCAGAAATCATTTTTACCAGACTTTGTCTTAAGGAGGATACTGTAACAGATGGCAATGTTTGGGAGGCAGTGAATGAGTGCCTGCTGGGCAGGCTGAGCTACGTTCTAGGAGGACAGGTTCTGTTCATTGAAGGCTTTTGTTTCGCTGATTGGGGAGTGCAATTTTGGGCCTGGAGCTAAACTGTCCAGAATAACACAGGAAGGCCGAGAACCCTCCCTGCCTTCACCATCTTTGACTGAACTGCGCTTGCTGTCTCCTCTAAATAAAATTTGAACAAACAAGTGCTGTTTCCTCTTGTCATACCTCTGCTTCCCACTAACACACCGGTAACAACTCTTCATTCTAAATTCCTATTTACCTGTTTATCTTCACGTCCAGATTTGAGGGTCAGGGACTGAGAACTGAATGCAGTTCTAGCTTATGATGTATTTACTTATTTACTTAACAAACGGAAACACTGAGATTTAGAGAGCTTAGGTGAGACGCCCAAGATCACACAGCATCACGGCTGGTTTGGAAAGCAAACCATCTGACTCCAGGGCTTATGTGAATAACCAGTTACTCTGCTGCCCCATGAATAGCTTATACCCACTCAAAATTGAATAATGAACTTAAAATCAACCAGAAAACAATAAAAGTTTATTTCTTTCTCACCCCTTGAAGTCTATCACTACTGCCTCCCCCTGGCCTCTGGTTCATTCGGTAAGTTCTTAACTCCCCAGGACATTTTATGATAATAAAGTGCAGTGTGTACATGTTGAGAAGACTTGGAGATTTTATTGATGGTATTTATTGATGTGTTAACAAAAAATTGATGTGCAATGGAGAGAGAATTTATTTTTTTATTTTCTGGTGAATATCTATGAATCCACTGAATCAGTGAAAAATCAAAGGTGATACTTGAAATAAAGCTCTGAAATACTCACTTCTCTTGGCGACCTTGAGCCTCCTTCTCGAAATGTTGGTTTACATCTGAAATTAATCTGTCATTTGAAAAGAAAAGTATATTATATTAGAGATAAGCATCAGATTAGACTGCCTTACCTGAAAAAGAAAAAACCAACAACAGTGACAGATATTGAGACTGCAAAACAAAACCTTCAAAGAACAAGGAATAATACTTTTCTTAGTCTTTTGAAATCATCACATTAGATAATCAACAGAAAGCCCAGGCGATTCTGTATCTCCAACCCCTTTCCTTCATTCTCACTGATGAAATCTAAGTACCTTTAAACAATAATGTTCTTACACCACAAACGTGAGAAACCGAGATAAGAAACAGCCCGGAGGAAAGAGGTTGGCCGCTGAAACTACCCAGCTGGGTTTTGGTTTGGAAAAGTAGAAAATAGAAACTTGAGATTTTTTTTTAGCGTTATGATGATTATTCAAAGACAACAGAGTTGTTCTTTATAAAAGGATTCAGCACTTCCTTTCTTTTAGAGGTGGAGGTTTCCTAGTGGGCACATTTACATCTTGGTTAGCTAGTCAATAAAGTGAAAGGAGCAAAAGAATGAAGGTAGAGATGAGGCAGGGAAGTTGGGACAGAAAAGATAATATTAAGATAAAATGTTGGTAGTCATTGCCACAAGATATCAATTAGGATCAACTGGTCATGTCAGTGAAACTAAATGAATGTCCTGGGAAACTAAAATATTCCAATTCTTTTACCCACGGCAGCTCAAGAACATAGATAGTACACAGAGAACATAGATAATACACATGAAAATGGAGTGAGAAGTGTGAAGGGGAAGAAGATGGCAGACCAGTCACTAGTGGAGCCTTTCCCATCCCTTAAATGACAGATAAATGAACTCAGCCAAATCCACTTATTCTGGAGGCTTGACACCACTAGGATGCCACTTCCAGCCCCACCGACACGTTTGAGCAGCAAGAGGAGGAGCCCCACAGACTAAGAGCTGGCTTCCAGCTTGCTTGCTCCCTTGGAGGCACTTTGGGAAGAAGTAAACCACACACGTCAGATACATTTGAACAACAATTAAAAACAGCTTATAGAATTTTTTCCTTCTTTAAAAAAAAACAGCTTGTGGAAAAGCCTACGGGCAAATAGTAACGCTTGAACTGAGATGATACAATGAAAGAATCAGCACACACCACAGGCTTTTCCATCTAACTGTGTTATTCCTTTTCCCAAGAGTCCACATAAAATGATATCAAATTACCCTTCAGCAAACAAGACAGTGAATGACTCTTAACGTTGTCTTTCCATGATTAATCTGGTAATAATGTTGAACCTCCAGCTTTTTTTTTAAAGGGCATTGTTTTCAAAAAGTTGGAACTAGAAATTTACGCCAGCCCTCCGAAGACCAAATACTTGCAATGTAACAAAACTGCAGCAGGTGGCGTGCTCTTACCTTTTCTAGCTGCTCAATGCAGGCGGTGTGGACGACGATTTTACAGACTGCACACTTCCTCCTGAGAGCTGATTTCTGAAACATTCAATTCAAAAGACAAGAAAGAAATGTTAACAGTCTGTTCTGAAGAGTTCCCTAGTATTAAAGAGGGCATACATAATATATACATAAATACAGCAAATATTGCAATATTTCTATTACTAAGCAAATTTAAAACTTCATCTTGAATATCAAATAAGCTGACAAACTTTATCAACAGTTCTCTCCACTCACTATGTAGCTCCGTGTCTGTGTGACTTAGGGTGGGCTAGATTGTCTCTTCAAATAACAATCATAATAATAGCTCCAATATTTTGAGTGTATAATAAGAACTAGGCTCTTTATTCTGTCATTTCTGTTTCAGAACCTTACAATAGAGGCATTATTCTCTTCCATTTAAAATATTTTTTACATTATCACTCAAGTAGCTAAGGGGCAGGACCAACATCCAAACTTAGATGTAAGGTGAAAACAGGAATTCTTTCCCTATCGCCAAAGTGCCTAGATTTTCAGGGGCCATTCGTTTTAGGCTTCTATCCCAGGCGTGAGTCTAGACTAAGTTACTCAGGTTCTGCCCAAATCTTCCAGAAGGAAAAGAAGGCAAGTTCAGCTTTTACACCCAGGAAACAAGAATAACCACAAAAGCAGCAAAAGCTGCTAATAGGAATATAGCATTTGCTATGTGCTCTTATAAGCACTTCACAAATAGTGCTCACTTAACCCTCACAACCCTATGAAACAGGTCCTATTCTTAATTCCATTTTACCGGTGAGAAAAATGCCCAAGGTCAGTGAATTAAGACACAGCAGAGCCAGGGGGTCTGGCTTCAGAGCTCATGCTTATAAGCAGAACACAATTCAGCCTCTCTGACAGTCAGTACTGGTTTAAAATTATAATAAAATAAAACTTTTAAAGTTTTTCTTTTTCCTCTCATAAAAAATAGACTGCATGGAGAGAGATGAATGAGTGGAATCGACATTTCATCACTGCCAGTGTCATGCAGGATCTAAGATAGGAAAGCTCAGGCCTCTCAACAAAGGACAGACTGGAAGGAGCAGGCGCATGAATAATTTCTGTGTTTGAGCCTGAAAGAAACGTAATATAACTAAGCCTATTTGTCAAATGGTCTATCAACGCATCCAAGTGTGAAAGGCCCTGAGTTCCTGTCCTTAAGGAGCACTTAGAGATTGCTGGCAACCTTCCCCCTTCTGAGGAATGGTTTCCCCTGCTGAGGTATAATTTTTGAATCAATTGTGTCAGGTAGGTGAGAAGAAATAAAGTGTTGCTGCTGCCAGAGAAGTCTGGAGGAGCTGCAAAGCACCACCGTGGAGGGGCAGGATCGGAAAAGAAGCTGCAGCCTCGTAGGTCTTGGATGGCCGCATTTGTTCAACATGGGGTAGTTACATATTATCAGCTGCCTACAAAGAACCTAAAACACTGCAGTACTGCAGCTATGAAACGTGTGGAACATATCCACTAAGATTTCTTTTCCCTGCTTGCAGATGCTTTCATTACTCTTGGATTTCCTCTTCCTGAGAGAAGAGCATGGTGTAGCACATGAAATAAGTTTGACAATTGCTTTTGCACATATCAATGATAAAAGAAACCAAAGCATCTAGCTACACTACTGAGCAGTGTCTTGTTCTATTACTAACAAAGAAAATAAAAGAAAAAGGAGAGGGAGGAACAAGAAGACATGAAGTAGTAATCATAGCAGCACAGCAGTAGCAATCAAAAGAACAATTAAAAAGATTCTATTTGGCTCTACAGAGTAGAGCACCCATAAGCAAATCATGGTCTCCCTTCTGTTTCCTATGGATATCCTGGTGCAAATCACTTCTTTGGCACCACCTGCAGAAAATGCATGGGCCACTTGAGTCACATTGCTAATCAGAGTTACAGTGACGCTAAGGAAACTAGAGTTGATTTCTGTCTATTCATTTCCCATGAAACTCCTACTAAATTACGTTGTGGATAAGCAAAGCAATATTACCAAAGGTAGGCAACTACTTACGGGCTGTGATTTAAGGATTCCTGAAAAGCCTCCCTCCTTGCCAATAACTCCTGTTCTAGTCTAGCATTATGCTTGACACTATGCTCTGCATTAAGTTCTACAGAGTTCCAGGGATTTTATGTGCTCCTATGAAAGTCACTGAAGATGGGAGGAGGACACAGAGGAAACTCAGGAAGCCTCATGCATTCAATGAAACGGGATTGCCTCTTCCTTTCTTTGTTTTACAAATCGGGACTCTGAGTCAAATTACCTTTTGAACAAGGGATGTGGGCTAGAAGACCTTGAGAACCCGTGGCTTAAGATATGTTATGTTTCAGCTTTCTGGAGCCTCATGTAAATGCACTAACATCATTCATAAGAATAATTTAGGTGCAATGTTCTGCAAATGGTAATATATGGAGTCAAGTGCTGTAAGTTATAAAACTGATTTTAACTGAACTATATTGAATTTTAAAAGATCCTCTTGAAATATATTATGTACTTACATGCCTTTGAGGCAGAATATATAGACCGTATTCTAGATTTGCCTTCATAAAGACTACAACATGATATAGTCTGTAGACTGTTCCAAAGAAAAGTCGTTTTCCTGTTTCCTGTCCTACCGTTTGGATAGAGCTCCTTTGAGTCACTGTTGCCGTCTTTTATTGCTCTCAATTTCCTAAATGGCAGCTTCTCAACAGCTTTTAATCTGAGAAATCAGATAATCACAGTTTACAATCATATGTAAAATTAACGAAATAAATTGTGAGTGAAGGTCCAAAGTCTTTTGCCTAAGTAAATAGATTTTTTAGTTCCTTAATTGATAGAAACTGTTTTAGCAAATCTGGAATTCTAACCACTGACTTCTTGGTTTATGACTATGTTCAACTGGCTAAAGTGATTTGAAGTAGCTGGATAAAAACTTCAGGACAGAAATTGCCCAAAACATACAGAATTTTGTGCTTAGTTAGGCTGCAATTTTTTTTATTTTGAAATTTCTAGTGCTCACTTCGGCAGCACATATACTAAAATTGGAAATTTCTAGCTAAATACAAAGGTAAAATGCAGGAATCCAGACATTCTAAATACTATAAATATTCACTTTCTCCTAAATAACTTATATGAGCCACTGCTTCCTTCACTATGAAAGGTGATAAATTAAACTAAGGAAAGTCACTTAAAAGTATGCAGTAGGTTAGCTCTTGTTTTATTTTTTTTTAAACTCAGTTGGGCTCTTGTCCACCAGAGTGGAGTGCAATGGTACAGTCTTGGCTCACTGCTATCAGAATAGGCTCATGTGGTTATGGAGGCTGAGAACTCTTAAAATATGCCATCCACAAGCTAGTCAGTGAAATCGTTTGGATACTTGTCCCTCGCCAACTTTCATATTGAATTGCAATCCCCAGTGTTGGAGGTGGGGCTTGGTGGGAGGCGTTTGGGTCATGGGGGTAGATTTCTCACACATGATTTAGCACCATCCTCTTGGTGCTATCTTTATTATAGTGAGTGAATTCTAATGAGATCTGGTTATTTAAGAGTATGTGGCCCCTTCCTCTCTCTCTTGCTTGCTCTTGCTTCACCACGTGAAATGCTTGCTCTTCTTCTACCATGATTGTAAGCTTCCTGAGTCCTCCACAGAAGCTGATGCCAAAGCTATGCTTCCTATACACCCTATAGAACCATGAACCAATTAACCCTCTTTTCTTTATAAACTAAAAAAAAAAAAAACACCTGCCTCCCGGGTTCAAGCCATTCTCCTGCCTCAGCCTCCCAAGTAGCTGGGATTATAGGGATGCACCACCACGCCCAGCTAATTTTTGTGTTTTTAGTAGAGACGCGACTTCACCATGTTGGCCAGCCTGGTCTTGAACTCCTGACCTCAGGTGATCCTTCCACCTTGGCCTCCCAAAGTGCTGGGATTACAGGCATAAGCCACCATGACCGGCCAAGGTTAGCTCTTATTCTTCACATTGGGACATAATTATAGAACCTAGCACAAAAACATAATTTAAAAAATAAATATTGCCTAGAACATGAAACGTTTAAAAATTAAAATTATTTAAAAAACAATAATTTGCCCTCCTAGATGAATTTAAAGGCCCGTTGAACTTACTGCTTTAAATACCAAGTGGCACCTAAGCACTCTGACTAAGGTTTTCCTAATTTTGCTGGTGTTAGTATTCAAAAGAAATTTATTTGTAGATGTGTGGCACAGGGTGGGCGGGGGGCGAAGTGGGACATATCTGTTTAAACTAAGACAAAATAGAATACAGTATGGATCACATTCCATTATATTACACTGCTCTAATAAAAACATGACCAGCATTTACTTAAATAATAACACAATGACACATATGCTAGGTTTTAGGATGGTGGGCACGATCTCACTGGCAGCCACACAGTGGTTATAAGAGAAAACACATCCTACATGTTTCCCATGCTGCAGGCACTGCTGGCATTCAAAGTAGTGACAGCTCTCCACCAATCTTCAGCTCATAGCAGGCATGGGAGAAAAAGTGTCACAGCTTTAGACCACTGGAGCAGGGGATGGGGATTGAGGAGGACAGAGGGATCAGTGGCAGGCAGTGGAAGAGAGTAGACAATGGTCCCTGATAAGGAGCTCAATATTTAATCCTATCCCACCCAACTACATCCCTTGCCCAAGTCCGTGACCTATATCTACCAAGAAACCTATTTTTTTTTCTTCCTTTGAGCAAGATACGTGATTTCTGCTAAGTGACAATGAATATCTAGTGGGAGTTGAGAGAGTTTGATAGAGAAGAAAATGAAAGGAAGGAAGGGAAAGATGGTGGTGAAAAATAAAGATGAAAAAGAGGGAAGGGAAAAAGAGGGGAAGAGTAGGAGAGAAAGGAGAGGAGAGGGGAGGAAAGGAGAAGGGGGTGGCTGCTTGAAGGCTTCGGGTTACCTAGTTTCACAGGCCTGTGATTTATAAAAGGATTGGGGCCTTTTTGCTGCCCAAGGTAAAAATTAAAATCTGTCATTCCCAATCATGAGAAGTTTGACACCCAAGAAGCACGAAGCA